CATAGGACGCCGAAGGCAATTGCTAGCTATATATTGGGCAGTCAACAGTATCATCTCACAAGCTTGCATTTACAACCTTGTATTTGGAAGGAAAAGGAGGGTTAGGGTCGACTTTGTAGTTTAGGGTTGTGAAATTTGGGAATCATTTGGAGCTAATTAGTGTGATTAAGGTTTCAATCTTCGTCTCAGCATTCAAGATGTCTATTTATGTCAAGAAAATGGTGGGGCTCAACTGATGACGGTAAAAATTTGGGCGGGAGGTTTGGGTAAGATGGCCAAAATACCCTTCACTTTCTGTTTAGGTCAACGAAAATGCCCAATATGAATGTATCACAGTGCCACTTAACGTCCTTGCTTGAGGATGGATTGACGAAGGTATCATGTACCATTCTATGATTCAAGTAAAATTTTCAAGTTCGAGAAAGAAAAAATAAAGTTTTCAGCTTATTGGGATATTTGAATAATATTACAACATACCTCATCAGAAGCTATCTATACACACACACACACACACACAAACACGTAGAGACAATTACTTGAGGATCAAACTTAATGAGCAGATAGAAAAGGCACATCAAAATGCTCACTGATGCTCTTCAGATCTCTTGGAGATGGTTGAAGATGGGGAGTTCTTGGTTTGAGAGGAAGCCGTTAATCTGTTATTGCTCCGTGGGCGTGAACTCTGGCTCGAGGATGACTCAGTGAAGAAGATTATCTGCTCCTGGTCGTCTCCTAACAGTTGAAGAGCTCTCGGAATTGGCGGCAAGTTGACATCGGAAACCGCCTCGAGGATTTGTACCACCTGCCCCATTGACGGCCTCCGGGCCTCATCATCTTGGACACACCAGCAAGCAACTCTACAAATCCTTGTGAGCTCTTCTACATCCGCAATGCCATCAAGCCTCGGGTCTAATAGGCTCAGCACATCGCTTTCTGGATTACTAATCTTGCTAGCAGCAGAAGTTGGGAAGAATCTAACTTTCCCATCTTCAGATTGCTCGGAGTTTCTTCTCCCCGACACGAATTCAAACAGCATCATTCCGTAGCTGTACACATCCGCTTTCACTGTGATCGCCACGCCCGAAATCCACTCCGGCGCAAGATAGCCTCTTGTCCCTCTCATGGTAGTCAGGACCCTGCTGAACTCTCTTCCAACAAGCTTTGCAAGGCCAAAGTCTGCCACTTTGGGGCATAGTTCAGCGTCCAAGAGAATGTTTTCCGGCTTTATGTCACAATGTATGATGCAATCTCTGCATTTCTCGTGAAGATAAGCCAACCCTCTTGCTGTCCCAAGTGCAATTTGGTACCTTGTTCTCCAATTCAAGACATTCGGATGCTGATCGTTGAAAAGGTGAGAGTCTAAAGACCCATTCGGCATGTAATCATAAACCAACATCCTTTTAGCACCTTCAGAGCAGAACCCGCGAAGGCGGACAAGGTTGACGTGTTGGATGGTCCCAATTGTGCTCACTTCTGTTCTGAATTGCTTCTCCCCTTGGCTAACACTTTCAAGCTTCTTCACTGCTATGACAGACGAATCAGGCAATGTCCCTTTGAAAACAGAACCAAAACCTCCTCCCCCCAATTTTTCGGAGAAGTTCTTCGTTGCATCTTGCATCTCTCTGTACCCGAATGCCATCAACGAACCCTCTACTGCTTTTCCCATTCCATTCACTCGCTTTCTCTGTCCCAAGATTACAAACACAATAAGGCCTAAGAGGACTGCTACGCCGGCAGCTGAGCCTGCCGCAACACCAACAATCAATCCCTTGTTGTTACTTTTAGAATTCTTAAACTCAGAAGCTGCAAGTCTGAGGTATAAAGTTATTCCGTGGTCGACACTTGATGTTAGTTGTTGCAAATTCAAGAGTTCTCCTTCCCAAATCGAACATCCACTTGCGTTATAAGAATAAGCAGTGCAAGAGCAGTTTCTAAGGCAGAATGATTCACATTCCGCAATATTCCCAACCTCCACAGATTGTTCATTTTCAGGCAATGACATGCTAGGAAGTTCAAGAAACCGGTCTAGCTTCCCGCTCGCACTAGTAGCATTTTCACAATGCAGATCGGTTTTTCTCTTACACCCACCAGAGTAGTCCTGCAAATCCCAATCTCTCTTCGCCTTTGGCTCAAAACCGTTCAAGCAATTACAGGAGACGGTGCTTACATCATTGCAAGTTCCGAAGGCGCCGCACAAATCATAAACTTCGCATCGTTGTCTCGGTTGAGACCAAAACAGATTCCATTGCCTGGAAGGCTCCAACCATGTCAGCTGTTGAATCTGCCCCGAAGTATTCAGCACGAATCGAGAAATTATCTTTGGATCATAAAGAGAATAGGTGAAGTAACTTTCGGTTGCGTTCGTAACAAAGCTGAAGTTGTATATATAATTGAGCCTCATTTCCGGAACCCAGCTGAAAAGCTTTGATTTTGAATCCCATGGTCCACTACTCCAATACTGCCTAGACCTATTCCACCGTATGAAATACGCATGGCTCCCCTTCGGGTCTAATTCGAGCGAGAAAAGACCAGGTGCAGGATCCTCCGAACTCTTCCATGAAGTAAGAATTTGGGTTTGTTTGGTAACAGTGTTAAACCCAATTCTAGCTCCTGGCAGCCATGTATGAGCCGGATGATCAAAGCTTTGCCATAACGGCTCTGACGTACTATTACTAGACCCCTCTCTCAAGACCAGGTTTCCGGTATCCAAAAGAAGTGCAGTGGCGGCGGAGGAGGATGTTAAGTTCGTTGACCAAACGGGGATTTTGGACCCGTTGAAGAGAACTAAATTACCATCTGAAATCCTTAAAACCGAAGAAAATTGATCGGAAACAGGTTTTTCTCTGTTTGCCACCCAAACTATGGTCCTCTCGGATACTAGTTGCTTGGTGTACCATATGCCTACGTAGAACTTTGAAGAATTACCTGGTGTGAAGAAACCGAGCTCGAAAATCCCACCGGCAGAGACAATGGTTTGATCACCGGAGAGAGATTGGTTGGCGGTGATGGAGTCGGCTGCAAGGGAGACATGGGTTTTGAGGAAGCAGAAGAAAACAACTGAAAGCACCAATCTTTTCTTGGTTTTGGTATCCATGGCTGCTCAAAGCAAATTTGCAGACAAAGTTTAGAGAGAGAGAGAGAGAGAGAGAGAGAGAGAGAGAGAGATTTTTGGGCCATATGGTTATGGTCATTGGGTGGAGGGTGAACTTGGCAGCTACGTACAGGGTCAAAGTCATGGTCACGTCCACGAGCGACTAAAATTCAAAGGTGAGCTTTTTTCTTCTCCTTTCCAAAAATCCTACTGAGAATCCATTGCCTGTTTGCAAGTAAATTTTTGTCATGTGGTCAGCCAACCAAACTGTAGAATTGGACAACATCAACTATGTTACTACGTGTGTTTTTTGGGTTTCAAAAAAATAAATTGTTATAACAAAACCAGCAGCTAGTTCTCTTAAAATATATATATATATATAATTAAAAAAACCATGTTACTAATGTGAACGAAATCCTTTAGAAAACTTTATACAAACTTTATCGCTTTGTACTGCGTCACATTTAAACAAACTTCATACACCATCAACAACAATTCATCGGTGAAGACCATTTCCACCAAATAACCTACGAAGAGAACAAAGTTGAGAAATTGGACCCGACTGCAAGATTTTCGTTTTATTATGCTGACGTGTTGAAAAGGCAACACAAACCCCTTTGATTAATTTTTGTTTGAATGCTAATTTCTGTTGTTGTAACCCTTCTTCCAGGGCAACTATTTTTCCATTCAAATTAAACATCTTTGTAACTTTGACGCTGGCGGTTCAGCAGGATCATCACATCACTGGGTTCACACGGAAGCAATCTCAGCCGTTCAGTTTGTTGTTTATGGTAATTTGATAAATGTTCAAACCTACCTTACTACTTATACTTCAGAGAAATGTCTGAAATATTAAAGGCTTAATAATGGAAGGGTCAGAAGCATTGCGTATGATTTGGTTGCAGGTATCCATCTTGACCTATTATTTTCAGTTGTGGACAGACATGGAATAATAATAGAAATCTTGTGATTAGAATTCAGCAAAAGTTTGGTTCATGTCTTTTCAAAATTAACATGAACAATCCTTAAAGTTATAAGATGTTACATTATTAGCCGATCGGTCTATCTATCTATCAAGTTAACTATTATTTTATGACGTGACAATTGGTTGTTTTTTCCTTGCATGAATACAGGATTAATACCAAATGGACTATTTTTGATCAATTATTATATGTCAGAGGTTGAGGTTCCTTTTTAAGAATAAAGTTACTTTTGTTATACAAATTAAGGGTGGGCTCGATTTCATTCGGTTTAGTTTCTTCTCAAAGCCGAAAATCAAACCGAAAGTATCATTTGGTTCGGTTTTGTAATTTTTTTTTTTTTGTTGGCTTATTGGTTTTCCGTTTAGTTTCTAAATTTTTCAAAAACAAAAAAATTAAATATTTTTCTTTTTAACTTAGATATTGGAGAGAAAATGAAGAAATGTTTTCTAGGGAATAAGACTATCAACATAATTGGGCTTAAAGTTAAGTTTTTACCTAGCCCTGGATTGAAATTAGACTCATAGTTGACTTGGAATTGAGCTTAGAAAATGAATATCCAACATAAATAGAAAATATATTGATTTGTATCTCACTCGGTTCGGTTTTTGAACCACCAAAACTGAAACCAAACCAATAGTTTTTGGTTTAGTTCGGCTTTCAATCGATTTGGATTTTCGACTTTGGTTCGATATTCGGTCCAATTTTGTCAATCTTCAATTTTTCAAGCCCACCTCTAATTGAAATCTTAGTTGGGTCGGTCAAAGAAGACCAACTAGGAAAGTGGACAGCAAGGCCCAAAGAGAGCCTCAAAAGGGAGCCGAACTGCCCGTAAGTGCAGTGAGCCCCAGCGGCACTCTCTTACGTCTGTTGTTTTATGCGAACGTCTATACACAAGACCTTCTCCCCGAGAAGGCTGTCAAACATAATGGTGTTGTGTCATCCAAGAATGATGAGTGAGTAGGGTTTCCCTCGACTTGGACATGAGAGCCTTTCCAGCTATCTCCAGCTTCTATTTGTAATTGATAGTCTGATATGAATAAGATAGAATGGTAAAGGCCGTTCAAACACATGACTCACACTCACAGCCACAAATGACCACTTCACAACTTGGTTCTAGTGAGCTCTTAAAGCCTACACAATCCTATGCTGATCACCGAAACTACCCATCAAACTCTCCACAAAGTCCCAAGTACGCAAAGAACTCGATCGTTTTTTCGAAACAATGAACCCGCCACCGCCCGTACACATCAAACCATCCCCGCCGCGGCTAACCACCACGATCACCCCAACACCTGATGGAACCCACCGGAAGGTCGCGATCGCCGTCGATTTAAGCGAGGAGAGCGCCTTTGCCGTCCGATGGGCCGTACAGAACTACCTTCGACCTGGGGACTCTGTCGTCCTCCTCTACGTGCGACCCACCAGCGTCCTCTACGGCGCCGACTGGGGCTCCGTCGACCCCAACGACGCCGTCTGCTCCTCCTCCGAGTCGCAGCAGAAATTGGAGGACGACTTCGACGCCTTCATCACCACCAAGGCAGCGGACCTGGCGCAGCCGTTAGTGGAGGCGCAATTTCCGTTCAAAATCCACATAGTGAAGGACCACGACATGAAGGAGCGGCTCTGCTTGGAAGTCGAGAGGCTCTGGCTCAGCGTTGTCATCATGGGCAGCCGCGGCTTCGGAGCCGCCAAGCGTGCCGCAAAGGTCGGCAGGCTCGGCAGCGTCACTGATTACTGCGTGCAACACTGTGTCCGTCCAGTTGTGGTTGTGAGGTATCCTGACGACTCGGTCGGGTCGGGCGCTGGCGGTGAACCCGATGGCCCGGTGGAGCTCCACCCGGTGCCGGAAGAGGATCCGGAGGAATTCAACGACGGTTCCTCCTCCGATAACAATGAAGCTCATGGTAAATTTCTTTTGCTCTGAACTATAAATTACACTAAATAATCGTAAATCGTAAATTGTAAATTGACCCCTTTTTCTCTTGTTATGTTGCAGAAATCGAATAAATTGAAGGTTGCAGGGTTTACATAGCAAATTTAAATGGATTTATGGCTACTCTTGTAATTTCGAATTTGTTCTGCTAGTGTTTTTCACTTTGCGTTTTCTCATTGTCAAACCGTAAAAATTGTGGTGGTGAATTTGACTGTTTGTCTCAGTTTGTATAATTGCAATGCATCTTTTGATTTTATAGAGTTGAGTTTGTCCACGGTTCGATTATTTTTAAATCTCAGGTACCAAAGTGAGGAGTAATGTCATCTCTGAGACCATTTTGGCAGCCTGACCTTAGAGTCGGACCAGGGCTTCACCGCTTAGGGTATACAAGCATACGCCGTTGAGCATACATACATGCAAACACAGGACTAGACGTATACAAGGAATATGGGTATACACGCAAACACGGTTAACCACTTGAGCTACAAACAAGAGAAAATCAATGCTTGCAAAAGAAAATTCAACCATTCACTAATAGGGTGTTCGGTAAGCACACAAAAAAATACAGAATTTCAGAAGTTATACAGAATGCAAATGTAGAAATCCACACACTGAAACACAAGTAATGTATATGATCCGATACAAAGCTTGAAATAAAATCTCACATGGCTGCCATAGTTCCCTCACTCCGACTCCTGCGCATCGAGAGATCCTGCTTGAGGTTCATAATTCTGCTGCCCAAGTCAAAGTAGTGCTGCCGACTCTGCGCTGTTACTTTTGTTCCACTCGGAGGGAGGTGGCTGTGCCTGCCCCGAGACTTTTTCAGTGACGCTACAGATTGACTTGCATGACCGTGAGTTGATGAAGTCGATGGCTTTTTAGAAGATACACCGTGACCAGCCTTCCTCGGAGCCTTGTGATCGGGTCTAAGGCTGCGATCAAACTGGTGGTTGCTAATGCCTAAGCGTACTGACCGATCTGCAGCGTCCTTGAGAGCGCTGGACTTGATTTGCTGCCGGTTGTAGTAAACCATGTGGGGAAGAAGTCCTTGCAGGTATTTCTTCAATTGGTCATCGCCGACATTCTTCTGAGCTGGGTTTCCTTCCAGGCTGATGGCTTGTAAGGAATTGTAGTTAGCCGCCAGTTGACCAAGACATTTTGCCGTTGAGATTTTGTTGAAGCGCAGATCCAGAACAGTCAGTTTTAGGAGGCGATGAAGACCCTCCACCTCACTGATTTTGTTTCCAGCCAAGTACAATTCCTTTAGAGACGAACAAGAAGCTAGGCCTTCAAAAGAAATTGGGAAAATGGAAAAAAAATATGTTAGGACAGGAATTATTCATGAGTAATCAACAAGAAAGCCAGCAAATTTAGTAATTCGATATATGCAACCTACCATGTCCAATTCTCAAAATCCTGTTATAGCTCAGGTCCAGTACACGAAGTCTTGTGAGTTCACGCAAACCTTCGATAGTAGAAATACTGTTTTTTGAAAGATTCAACATATGGAGTCCTCGAGGAAGAGCACCAGCAGTTATCCTTACTGCAGCAAGTTTGCAAATGGAACGCTAATTAGAATGCAGAATTAATTAATGCAAAGAATCATCACAAACACCATAACACAGATTCGAATAAAATGGAACAGATGAGTCAGATAGGCAAACCTATGGAATTTCCTGATAAATTGAGCACCCTGAGATTTACAAAAGCACTAAAGAATGGGATCACTACCAATCCATGATTTGCAAGCTGAGCTGTGGTGGCAGCTGCACTCAGAGAAGATATATATCGCTTAGCAGCTTCCATGCCAGGAGTGACCTTACCATCCACCTTAGCAGCAGTCAAACCATTTGAATCATTGGACTCTCTCTTCACCTGATCATTAGATTGGGACAATTCATTCGTTTCTTCCACCGGACTGCTGCTATGCTGAAGATTATTAACCCACTCCTCGATACGCTTATATTTAAAATCCTTGTTCGGCAATTCATCCCAACTTTGAACTGAGGATTCACCTTGGAGGTTTTTGTCTGCCCTTACCTCATCTGCAGGTGGCACTATCCAGTCCTTTGCAAAACTAGAGTAGTTACAGGAATCATAGCCATCATCGATGGAGTTTTCAATATTATCGTTCTCAGCTTTACTTACATTATCATCTCTTTCCTGTTCTTGCTTTACCTGCATTTCAGTCTCATGTACCGAATTCCCTTTCCGCCTCATCCCTAGGACATGCAGGTCCTCGGAAGATCTTGAATGCACTGCTAAAGGATTAACAAGAGAACTCTCTTCAGCAGCCGGAGTAGAAGCACTAATGTTTGCAAGAGAACAACATTTAACAAGCCCTTTTGCAGTACGAGGTGTAAGGTCAGCAGAGTCATCAGCAAACTCTCCAGATGTTGGAGTATCACAGTTTTCAAGGCCGTCCTTTTCTGCTTGTAATGGTTCTCCAATCGAAAAAATTGATTCATTATTGACAATTTCAGAACTTACTTGACCAAGGTCAGAAGCAGGAGTTGTCTTAGATGGTTGAGGTGGGCTTTCTCCTCGGTCCCTACTTCCCTCGGGTACCACCAATCCATTCCGATGAAGAGAACCGTCAGAAGAAACTCCTTGATCAGTCTCGTCCCCAGCATCATTGTCAGCAGAAGCCCTCCCCTCAAGGTATAATTCACTTCCTAGAGACCTACATTTTATGAGCCGTCCTGCCTGAGTAACCTTGCCGCTACTTTCATTGATATAGCTGCTTTCCGTATCACCTGCTTTCCAATCAGCCTCAAGGGAAGGTACATGCTTCAAACTGCTGTTAACTTGAGAAACTCCTTTAGACTGTGATGGGTTTACGCTTGATTTTCCAGGCAAATCCTTCAAAACTTTACTTGGAGAAGAAGTTTGCAATGTTTTATGCATTATATCAACAGAAGGTTGAATACTTTTCTGTTTGAAAAAGAAGACTCGGAATCAAAATAAGGAATGGACTATAAAACCAATCAGAATAAATCAGAAGTGCCAACGACCTGATGTGATGATTGTTCCGCTTACCTTAGGTTTGGGGCAATGGACGTTAGCTTGGAAACATGAAAACCTAACCATTGCTGAAAAAATATAAGAGCTAGTGAGCTACATCAACACGCGAACTACCCTTGACTACGCCGGAAACTATCAACGAGAAACTATTGTGCTCATTACTGTCTGGAAGCCTGTATGAACAAACTGACCTTGCTAAGTACACAGAAAAACTACCATCAAACTTCCGAAAGGGCAGCCGCGAATGTCATTAGCCATAATCAAGCGACAAACCCACTGAAACACGGCACAATCTCCAGATGTGTGATGATCTCGATCTCCTTAAAACACAAAGCAAAATCACTCTCTCATTATTACCCCACACCTTTTTAGAGGTGCGAGAGGGAATTGATTTTGCAGTAGCGGCCAGACTGAAAGAAAATATCTGTCAAATGGAGAAGAACCCCGACCAGAACATGCGCCGGAAATGCTGGCCTGATAAAAGAAGGAAAAACAAAATACTAAGACTCAAGCGCCCAACGCAGTAACGCAAAACATACTATATATATATATATAGCTCAGAAATTCCAAATCGAGGGACAGCAAAATACAACTTTCTACGAATCCATGCCAAAAAATAGACAGAAATCCCGTGCTTCCTACTTGAATTCATGACCTCCCACCATTTCCTCTTATGCACACATTATAGGCTCGTTTGGTGCATAGGATTGGATTAGACGGAATAACTCATAAGATCCAAGGTATGTTGAAGTAAGAAACAATCAAGGTAGAGGTGAAGGGATAATTTTTTCTGTTTAGTATAAGGTGTTGATGTCCAACCACTTTGCTAGGATTTGAAGCGATAAGTTTCTTTCGTGAGTAATCCATATTGTACCTTGGACCAAAACTTCTTCAATTTTTTCCTTCAACGTGCCTTAAAATCTAGCGAATTAGCCAATCCAATCGGAGGCAGCAAATCACCCAAAAAACCAAAATGTTCTAATCATATTTAACTCAACTTTCATTGTTTATGTTAAACTTTGCAGTAGACAAACATTATTATATCATTAATTGAGTGTATTTTAGCTCACCGTCCTAAAATGATGGTGGCATCATATTAATTACCATTAAATTAGTTTAAATTTTGAAACTTGTGCAATAAATAGATTAAATCAAATTCACATAACGGTAATCAATGGGTTGGTACGCAAAAATATTTCCAGAAAGATAAAACAACATCAAGATTCTGTGAAAGGCAATCAAACACAACCCAGAAGTCAAAAATAAGCAACAAGAAGACGTTTTTACATAAAAAAAATCAGAAACCCACAAAAGAAACGCAAAGATTATAAATTTCAGAAGCAGAGATCTGACCTCCCCGTTGCCAGATTGTAATGGAAGGCAGCGGTGAAACAGAGAAAGACCTTGCCTTTCTTCTTCTTCTTCTGCAGCCGAGCCACAAAGTTGCAATTTTTATTTACCTTTTTTATTTTTTGTATTTATTGGTTTGTATGTATTATTAATCCATGGTTTCAAATAAACGGCGTGAGAGCTACATGCCAAACCCTAAAGCTCCTCCCGGCTCCGATTTTTATACGCCCCAAAAAATCAACGGCTCACAAAAATTAAGGGAAACTTCGAGCTGAGAACAATGAAGAAACAAAAGAAGGACACGGAATTGGAGAGAAGATTGGATTAGATTCTGTATGTTGTTATTTTGCTTGCGTTGGTTAAGTTCGAGGATTTTGCCAAGAATTTGTGCTTGCTGTTTGTTTGTTAAATAAATGGGGAGCATTTGCGTCCACACACGCACCGATATGCGAGGAGGGTCCTTGGTCGCAAAGCCACTCTTTTTTTACCCTTTTTTTCTTCTTTGGTGATTTTTTTTTTTTTTTAGTATATCGATATTTTTATATTAAAGGAAGTGAGAGTTCGGTTGAGCAACACAATGGTAGTCTAATTTGGTATCGAATTTTTCATTCAAAAGATTCGAACTTAAAATCTCTTACTTCCAAATGAAAAGTAATATCAACAAATCATAGTATTAAGTAGCATGTACTTTTCGATTTTAATTTCAAATCTCTCATTTTTAATTAAATGTGTATTTTTATTTCATTTATTTTATGCATGTCCCAGGTTGGGGTGGGAAAAAATATTAAATTTATTTTAATTACTGAGAAGGGTATTGGTGTTTAAGAAGAGCATATTATTCTAGTCAATTTAGTTATATTTAGGTTAGGTCTAAAAAAAAGTGATATTATTTAGATACTCTAACTAGCATACTTGCTCATACATTCTCTAATATTGGTGGCCCAATTAAATATATGTCAAAAGTTTGTCAGTTTGTATGTCTAAATAATTTTATTGATAAAAAACACGTTAAAGCAATGTTGAATATCATCCAAGTTAGGGATTTGGCTACAATACTTACATGTTTAATGCAACTACTATCTCGACGGTCATATGGTGATTTTATTAGTTACATATATCACCAAATGATTATATTAAACACATATAAGTATTCTAACCAATCTCCTAAATTATATTATCATTTAACTGAAATATGATTCCTTTCTTACATAAATTAGAATAAATTAGCTAGAATATCGCATAATCAAAGAAAACATATTCTCATTTTTTTTCTTTCGTAGAATCAAATTTCAACACATATCTCACTTTAAATCTTCCTAGCAATTCTCACCGCATCATATCTTGTTGTTTGTTTCACATTGTGAATCGAACCTAAACATATATTAATCATAACACATTATTCTAATTCCAAAAACATAACGCGTGACAACTTTTGATTGTATATTCTAAAGGTGATTTTAGCTTTTCTAAAAACATAAACAAACAGAAAAATAATAACCGCACATTATTATTAATTTTTCGCACACTCTTATTTAATATTTTTCTGTTGTTTCAAATAAATTTTATTTAATTTGACGGCCGTACAAAATAAAAGATACAACACATCTAGGATTTATTTAGGCCAGCAATAAGCCCAATAAACTAGGCACACGTAATGATGGTAGGTGACGTGGCCGTAGGCCCATCCCGTCTTCTACCTCAAGCTTTAGCTCGAGAAAGAAGCTGTTGGCTTTCCGCTATGGCTTCAAAGCTGATTCCGCCGCGACGGCTCTCGAGGAGGCTTCTCAGACTTCCATCTTCTCCTTTTTCTTCTTTCACCGCGTCCAGGTCGTGCTTCCATATATTCTAGAAGCAAAGAAATCTCCTCATCTTTCCTCGAACAGCCACGACGGACCTCGTCGTTGGATAGCTTCCAGAAGCTTCTGTTCGAGCCCTTTGAATCTCGATGACGATACTAATATTCCCGCCGCCATCGATTACCAGTAAGTCTCAATTTTCCGTCAAAATTTTGTATTCTGCTTGGTTATCGAGAAAATATGGAAAGAAAGTTTTGATCTTTTTCTCTAAGAAGTTGTAGGAAGCAGAAATGTTGCTCCAACTAAGTTAAGATATGCAGAAATAGTACAAGGTACACAGTTGTAATGCAAAAAATACAACATTAGTGATAATAAACCGTACATTAGTGTCACGCCAGTTTTATTTTTTATTAAAAGATTGTAACCGGTTCTATTTGCGCATATTTTTCTTAATTTTTTGAAGTTATTCATAAATTGGGAATTCTAAAGATACAGATTTTGTGTTGGGATTGGAATTTTAGCTGAAATTGCTGTTTGGTTCGAGGCGTGAACTGAATGTTGCTAATGAGTTGATGCGCATACAGTTCTGTACTACAGGAGGATGAATTTCACAGGCTAGCTGATTCTACAATACAAGACCTCCAAGAGAAATTTGAGGTATTTCATTTTTTCCGTTCCTTTTCGTGCGGAGTTATTCGAGTTTCAAACTAGTTATGCGTTGTTTTCTTGTTTTGGTAGATGACACATTTTGTATTGTCATGCATTATGTTTTCATTGATGGTTCTACCTGGCAGGAATATGGGGATTCTGTTCAAGTCGACGACTTTGACATAGACTATGGGGTGAGATGGCTGGTTGTTGTTTGAAATTGATTGAGTAAATAGGAGAGCAATGTAGTTTTTGGTACGTAATTGGGTTTGCATTTGGCAGAATGAGGTGCTGACCTTAAAACTCGGGGATTGTGGTACCTATGTTTTGAACAAACAAACACCGTACCCAGTGCACAAGGCTCCCGTTTTACGCAGGGTCTGGGAGAGGTGAATGTCGGCTAGCCTTACCCCCATTTATGGAGAGGCTGCTCCCAAGACAAACAAACACCAAACAGACAAATTTGGTTGTCTTCCCCGGTGAGGTATGTTTTCTTCTGTCGCGCTTATTGGTTTCAGGTTTGCTTGTCTGATTGTGTCTTGTATAGTTACACTTTTGTGAGTCTATATGTAGGTTCGTTCAAAATGTTTGGACTGCATGTTAACTAAATGTACAATCTCTGAATGAGCAGTTCTGTAACGTGGGAAACTCTTTCATTGTGTAGTATGAATGAAACTGGATGTATCCTCAACAGTCAACACCGAGCCGATCTGTCAATCCATACCATAGTGCACGCATATATATTGAAGTGTGTGAATGAACGTATTTTTTAATCTTCAGTTGATGCATTACTGCGTGTCCATGAGTTTGCTTCTGTGTCCATGGCTTCCATATTTCCTTGATAGCGGCATTATTTTTGAGCAATTTGTACGCACCTTTGCACGTGCTTGTGATCAGAAATTAATGCCTTAAACTTATGAGTGAATTATAAATTATAGAAATTTGAATACGATATTACAATGTTCTAATACTGTCTAGGTTCTTAGCTGAAGCAAGAACAGGTATCAAATGGCGCAGGCTTGAATTAAACGTCTCCTACAAGATTTTGGAAAGGAAGCTAAAAAATTGAAATTCAAACGAATTTGGAGGAAATATTATCTGATTAGTGCGTAGTGACTAGAATCTTGAATGGTAGCCCTTCAACTGGAACCTGTGACCTTCCTTCTCTCACGTGGAAGAATGTCTTGATGCCCTTAAACTCATGAAAGGGAGGGAGTTTGATGGGGCGGAGGGTCTTTATTGTTTACGCATCTTCTATATGGGGAAATCCCATCCATTGCAGCACATTTTTATACGTAATCAATCTAAGAAATAGAGGTCGCACTTGGTGCGATGGCAAGTGCCTTCGCCCATGAGCGGTAGGTCTCGGGTTCGAGACTTGGGAGCAGCCTCTCCATAAATGGGGGTAAGGCTAGCCGACATTCACCTCTCCCAGACCCTGCGTAAAGCGGGAGCCTTGTGCACTGGGTACGACCTTTTAATCAATCTAAGAAATCCATGTGCTCAGTATTCTGTGTAGAAATTTTCGTGCTCATTCTCCTACCTGCATCTTGCTCATGTACTGTGTTAGAAATCCACAGTCCCGTTTAATCCATACTATTTTGCTCAACTTCTTAATAATTTATCTTTCGTTTTGCTTTAAGATTTATGTTCTTGATGCAGTGGTCCTCAGAGATTTGACTGGGATCGGAGTGCTCAAGCGTGGGTTTATAGGAGGACCAAAGCTCGTTTATTGAAAATTCTAGAGAGTGAGTTGGAGGAACTGTGTGGTGAACCCATCAGCCTTTCATAAACTGCCTCAAAAGTTTGGTAATATAATTTCACTTGGAAATTAAACCGCCCCAAAAGTTAGGTAATATTGTCTGAAAATTTGTTTTTGTGTAAATAAAATACAAGATTTCGAGCATTTCAACAAGCAACATGCTTAAGAGGCAGGCAAGAACTTCATTTCATTCCTCCAATTTTCTTTCAATGCAATTATCTTTTAATTTCCCTTTCGAGTTTTTTAATCTCGCTGATTAATGTTAACGGAAAATTTAGAAGCGCAGCTTATGACCTACTGTGACGAAAATGTATACATTTTGTTTTGGGCAAAAGACTGTTTACTACCCTCATGTTTCGTGGTTTTCAACATTTAGTACATCAAGTTTTTTTCGTCCCAGAGTCATACCTAAAGTGTAAATTTTGGGACAGTCTCATACATCCGTTAGTCAAACTGTTAAGTCTTCCGTTAAATGATGATGTGGTGCCTACGTGGATAATGACTAGGCGCCACGTGTCAATAAAGGTTCCACGTAGATATTTAAAATTAAAAATAAAATAATAAAAAAAAAACGCTCTTCTTCTCTTTCGAACATCTTATTCTTCTCCCTCTATTCTCTAAATCCCAGTTGACCCAACATCTAAAATAAAAGCAGAACCACCCAACCCAGATCCCACGCGCCCTCGCCTCCCCCACTTCCAGCTTCTCCGCTCGCTTCCCCCCCCCCCCGCACTTTAACGTCACGGCCGCGACCCTCTCTACCTAGTCCATACGATTCTCATTCGACCGCCCGACCTCTCTCAACCAATCCATCTTCGTCTCGCCGTGTAAGTTCATCCTCCTTCTTCTTTCTCTCTCATCTTATTCTCTCTCCAACCTTCCAAATTTGTTTCTCCAATGGCTCCGAGTCAGAGTCAATTTAAAAACCCAATTTTTTCCCAAAAACTTATCAATCGTTTCGGATTTGAAGATTTTCAATTTTGATTAAGGAGAAATTCAATTTTACCTCTCGACGTCCCACTGGTTTTCTTGCATTTTCTGGGCTTTCGATTTCATTTCCCTTTGATTTTTAAGGAATGGAATTTATGGGAATTGAAGCCACACAGAGAGAAAAGAGGTTAGAAGGTATGGATTAACACTTCCTCCTACCACAGAGCAGCAGCAGAATCCATGACTTCGTCTACTTCCGTGGCTCTGTCCCAAGCCCTCCTAGCCCGAGCCATTTCCCCCTATGGCTCCAACTCCACCTTCGACTATGTCTCCCTCTCCGCCACCCTCACGCTCCCCTCTTTCGCCGGCCTGAAATCTACATCTTTGTCGTCATCGCCATCCACTTCTCGCCTCTCACACCGCCGACTCAGTGCGAACCGGCTTGTCTGGGTCGCCGTGGTAGAGACTCTGGACAAGACCACAGAGACGTCGTTGATGGAGAAGCTGGTGAACACGATCCCGTTCTTAGTGGGTTGTTTCTGCTTCATTTTTTTGGATTTTGTGAGTTTTGCGTGTTTGATTTGAATATGGAATTGGGTTTTGTGAATTAGGGTTCTTTGGATTTGGGAACAAAATGGTTGATAATTTGGATGGCTCTGATTGTAATTTTGATTGGATTTGAAGTTGTTGGATTCGGGAAGAAGAGGGGGCCTAATTCTTCTGAGAAGGTTGCTTTTTGGGGAAGATGAAGGGGTTTTTTTTTTTTTTTTTTGTAATTTTTAATTTTTTTTAAGGGCAAAAGACTGTTACTACCCTCTGTCTTCTAATTTGGAATTCTGGATTTTGGATATGGAAACTAGATGCTAAGAACAACGATAAGGCTAGTGCTATTCAACGTTTTTCCCAAATCCCACCCTCCCATCACCCACCCCTTCGTCTTCCCCAAATCCCACCCTCCCAATTCCCCTTCGTCTTCCCCACCCTCCACCCCCTCCACGGCTCCACTCCTCCATCCCCTCCACCCCTACCCACCGACACCCTTCCTTTCCCTGATACCCAGTTCGTCCCCCCGAGGAAGAAGAAGAAAAACAAAAAAAAAAGCAGATGATTTTTTTTTCAAAAACTTTTGGCGTGAAAAAATGTAGGTACATGGGTGTGGGAAAAATTTTTGGGCGGGAAAATGTTTTTTTGAACCCCTAAAAGAAAAAATCCACGTGGACCCACGTGGTGCCCAGTCATTGTCCACATGGGCGCCACGTCATCACTTAACTGGAAACTTAACAGTTTGACTAACGGATGTATGAGACTGTCTCAAAATTTACACTTTAGGTATGACTCTGGGATGAAAAAAATTGATGTACTAAATGTTGAAAACCACGAAACATGAGGGTAGTAAACAGTCTTTTGCCCTTTTGTTTTAGTTTCCTTCTCGCTTAAGCGGACGAAATAACCCTCTATTTGATTGAAAATTTGACAAATTTGACAGTAAAACCAAGTTCAATGGCCATGGTTCAAAAGTCCTGTATGTGGCTGGGGTACCAGGGCACTTTATAAACCCTAACGCTACCATCACAGCCACAAAACTGTAATTTGACTTCTAGGCATAAGTGCTTTTCCTCACCGTGCTTTTTTGCATAATGCATGACGAGCACCTCCTGGTTTCATGCATTAAACAAATAATGGATATTTTACAGAAGAATATAAGAAAAACTAATGAAAATGATTTAGAAACTTTAAGTTTTAACGATAAAGACTAAATAAAGAGTAAATTGAATAGTACCAGGATGAATTTTTTAGTGTAAGAGCAACTCTACCATTGCAAAGGCCCCTAGGGCAAGTCACTATTGAATAGCCTCCAATGAACATTAATTGCCTTTTGCATCTCCACCCCTATATTGAATAGCCATGACAATAGGCAATAAAATATTAGTATTTTTTATTTTATAAAATAAAACAAAATAATTTTATTTGTAAATTTCGGATATGATTTTTAATCGGTCTCGTTGTGCCACGTGTCATTAAATAAGAAATTACAACCCAAAATATTTGAGAAAATATAAAATTATGGTGGAAGTTGGAAGATAATGATAACATATTTATAGAAAATTAAATTCTTTTTTTTTTTATGATTTTTTTATTAATTTTTTACTTTTTTAAAAAAATTAATTATTTTTAAAAAAAATAATTAATTTTTTACATTTTTATTAATATTTTATATTTTTATTAATTTTATATTATGGCTGACATCACCGTAACGTCAGCCATTCATCACTTGGGCCTCAGGCTGTGGATTCGCACTTGGCCTGTCCATTGGGCCTCCCTCGAGCCCCATTGCTCGCATGGGCTGGAGCCGATTGCTAAGGCTATTGCCTCATGTTTGTCACCTGTCCATCGGGTCAAATACACCGGTGAACTTGCTCTAAAAATATGATTTTTCGTTAAAATAAATAGTACCAAGAGTTTTTCATTAAAATTCTCAAGAATAAATCGCTGTGAGGCGTCTCTTCCGATTTGCAGAGAATTGAAGATAGAATTAAGAACTTGTTTTTTGTACGTTGTCCCTTTCGTTTGCAGACAAAGTAGTTTCAAATGTAAGTGGAGAAGCAGCTTTTTATTTGAAATCAAGATAGAATAATCCTCGGATTAGTACTAGTAAAAATATTTTGGCTGGCATAGAAGTATATGATCCTCTCAATCATTCACCCAACATACAACGCGTAAGAAGGTAATTTTTTTAAATAACTAAAAATGCTTTCAAACCATAAAAAACGTTTTTTAAGTTAAAAAGAAGCACTTGCATTTTTATTAAAAATTTCGATGCGCTTCTAATAAAAAATCACTTATTGGAAGTTATTCGGAGTACAGGTGTTCTATAAGTTTTGTAAACCTGTACTATTATATCCACCTACAAGAAGTCGAGGATATATCTTTAAATCAGTGTATAAGATAAACGTGTATATTATAGTAATTTGGCGGAAAGGCGACACTCATTTAATTTTGGAAACCAACTATGTGGTTTGTATAAAAAGATGGCACTATTCAGTTTATGTCGGGAAGCTAAAAAGGGTAAACATAATGCAAATATTCTATCTCAAAACTAGCCTACTATTAGAAAGGGCGCTGAAACAGATTACTTTCTGCCAAGATACTCTTCGGATTCTTTTGGTGACGTTCTTCGAGATTCGTGAATAATATCCGTTTATTATACATTGTGCGATCAGTTTTTATCAAGTAATATTTATATTTATTTTTAAATAAAAATATTTAAAATGATTTATGACCGTAGAATGTACGATGAACATACACAATTTATAGATCTCAAGAACCCTTACAAAGAGGATCCAACGAGGATCCAAACTCTATTGTCTGCAGCTGGTTTATTGATTCTCTCAAAAATATCCCCTTTACCAATTTTTGTGGCCAGAAAACCAAGTGAAAATTTAGATGAACCTCCATCGTTCTAGGTGGGAAAGGATACAAACATTTCACCGTAAACCTTGAGACAGTCATTTTTTAGATATTATTGGTTAAGAAATTTATTTTTATTCTAATTGAGAAAGTTTATCTGCAAGTGATCGATTGTTTTGGTGGATAGGATTGTCCTTGTCAACCGACTGCATCAAGGGTTCAAATTTTTCTTATGTCCCTTTCCTTAGTCGAGTTTAGAGTAGAAATATTGTTTATAAGAACCATTAACTAGCCTTCCAAGAAGTGTACAGTTGTCCAAACTCATGTTTGTTGATTGGTAATCGTTAATGGATGTAAACCCCGAGATCTATCAATCGAGAAAAAACTTGAATAGGGTTGTTTGACTAGTTAGATAGTTAGATACTCTCAAAAAATCAAACCCACACAAAATATTAGATATCATCCAACCGTTCATTGGCCACAAGCCTGCTCTTTGAAGTGTGACCTAACCAACCAACTGATTAGGCTCTCCTACTAAATATCTTCGTCGGCCAACAACTGATAATCACATACGTCGGTTCAATCCTCCAAGACTAGTTAGAGCTCTCTTCAACCTACTCGTGGCTAGATTGATCGGTTTCAGGTCAAATAAAGACAAAGAAGATTCCACCTCTAGAAAGCGCCAACACCTAATGGTTTAAGCCAAGCTAGTATCTCTTATCCTCTAATTTAAATAACATTTTACAAAGAATGGGATGGAACAACCCTCCCCTTTGTCACTCCAAGTGCTAGGAACATACTCCCTCTTTTGTCACCATCGTGGTGTCATATTTCATCGAGTTATGGTCAATAGAATCCCAAGATAAATAAAAGCACCTACCATACTTTTGCTTTGGCTACTAGTAATATCTTCCTTCCTTCCTTCCCAGTGGTTCAGAAATTTTCAGAAATAAGTACAACTGCAAACACCACCACCACATAACCATTCGAACCCTAAAAGCATAAAACAAATATCCACCACAAGAACCAAACCTCTCGATCGAGTACAGATCCTTTATGCTAATTTGCAGAGGGTATTATTCTTTCTAAAATTGTATCAATGATTCTTAAATTTTAACCTAATTGGGGCAATGGTTCTTCAATGAAAAATTTATAAACATTGATTCTTTAACTCATCAAAACGTATATGGTCATTTTCTTCAACTCCGTCAGAACTTGCGTCAAAATAAATTATGTTGGAAGAACCATTGGTAAAATTGAATTAAGGTTGAGGGACCATTGCTCTAATTCGGTTAGAGTTGAGATACTATTTCTTCAATTGGTTTAAAGTTGACGGGCTATTGCTACAATTTTCTCATTTGGTTTTTCATATTTGCCCCTTGATTCAGCCTCTCATTTTGACCGAAGTTCTAACAGAGTTGACAACGAGAATTATAACTGCACATTTTAATGACTTAAGGAGCCACAAACAAGAATTTTAATTGAATGACGATTACTATAATTTCCTTTTTTAATAATTAACAACCCTTGAAGACGAACCAAAACAATGTATTAAAAAATATGATTGGTTGATGATCTTGTGGTGTTCCGATGAGAGCCTCTCCAACCACAACCTGTTTACTTGGGAGATTTTTCTCGTATTATTTTATGATAAATCAGATTAATTAATCATACAATAGAGAATTAATTTCTCGGTTTTAGTAAAGTGATTGAATCCTTGCATAAACGTTTGGCCTACTTGATGTGACGGCCGGCCATGGACCTTAAATTAATCAACTAATAAAGATTACGGAAAATATACTAATCTTCATGTTCTTCGTTAATCAACTTTGTTTAAGGTCTTGAGCTAGATATTTGTTGAGAGAAAATAATAAACAAACATATCCAAACCGGACAATGTTAACAACTAAGATTAGAACAAATTATAGGTACTTAACAAAACCCACTAGCTTGTAAAAATCAAGAGGAGAGAAACTGCGATAGGTTAAAGCATTTTATTAGGTAGTTTTCAAATCACGTGAGATAAACGTGTCATTTGAAACATGACATGTCTTAGTTTTTTGTAAAGACGGGTCTTATGTTTGATGTAAAACAGGTGAGTAAAAACGTCTAGGATATTAATCAAAGGTTGAGAATTTGAACAAGAGCTATAACCTCATGACCGTTGACGCATATCATACGTACGACACATAAGTGGTACAACATTTACCTGACTGTTGTTGATAAGATACTCACGACACAAGAATGGTTAGACTTTGAAGTTGATATGATAGACACCCCACGACACGTGAACAGTTAAAAAAAAAAAAAAAACTGATCATTAGTACAGTTTAAATACCCACAATATATCAACGATCGGAATTCTCTCACACGTGCAGGAGCGATTAAATCCAGGAGATCACTACGAGTTGGTGCCCGCTCCTTATTGTGTTGTGACTCGTGAAGGTCATGGCACATCGCTGGTTCACAACATTGTGTGTTCAAAGGACAAACGCATTATGCACACCTTCAGAAAGGTCCCTATCTAATGAGTTGATATGTATGAGATGAGGATTCTCTTCGGATTTTTTTTTGTAAGGATCTTAGGAATTCTCGTATCATGATCGTTCAACATACATTATACGGTTAATTTTCATTAGTTATTATTTATATTTAATTTTAAATAAATAAATTTAAAATAATTTATGATCGTAAGATTTATAATAAACTATTGGAATGTAAGGATTTATAGAAGGATGTGAATTGTCTGCCCTCCCATTTCCATACTTTTTCATTCTCCTTCTGTTTATGTGGTCACGGTTAAGCCACGTTAATATTTTATACTGATTTTTTTATAAAAATAATAAATATAAAAAGTAATAAAAATATAAAATATTGACGTAACTTAATCATGATTACACAAAACAAAAAGAGATGAAAATAGTATGGAAATGGGAGGGCAAATCCACCTCCTTTCTAGAATTCTCGCAACTTAATCCGGATGAGACTAGGGTTTTCTGACAACTGCCATAATTCTAAAGACAGAGGCAGGCAGGCCATCCCGATGCACGTCACCTCCATCCATCATCTGCACTCCTCCACGAGGACTCGGTCTTTTCACCTCCACCACACTCAAAAGTCAAATCTATTCCTTCCCAATACCGCATCTAAATCAACCACCTCGCGTGGCGGTTGGGATGAAAATTCTAACCCGTATATAAAACGGACTTGAATTCGATTTTTGAGTCTTCTGAACAGACAGTAATGCTCAGAAAATGCTGAAATATTTATATGAATCATTTTTAGTTTTGAAGAGATAAATTATTACGACGAAATCATCGACTAATTTACTTTAAAAAACCTATATATTCTTTTCCTGATCTCTAGAAAAATAAACTGCTGCAAAATCAACTGATTTTTTAAATGAAATTTTAACGAAAAGTTTATATATTTTTTATTTTAAAGAAAAATTACATTTTTATATCAAAAAATTAATTTTCATACTATTTATTTTACTATTAATTTTTTCCTTATAGTTAAAATTTAAAGTTTTCAAAACATTTTAATTAGTTTTTCTTTTTTTTAAAAAGGCATCTAAATATTTTGGCTACTTATTGTAGAATCCATACCTTCTTCACATACAAAAAATCTGAATTTAAAGATCAAATGATTTGGATCGTTGAAATTTAATCCAACGGTTACAATTATTATAACTTTTAGAAAAGCTTTCTATTTGTAACCGTTGGATCAAATTTCAACGATTCAGATCATTTGATCTTTAGACTCATATTTTTTTGGTCCGGAGGGGATCTAGTAAGTGCGTTTGGTTAAAACTTTCTCATCAAATCATATAATAAGCTTACCAAAATTTAAGGTACAAGAGACGTGTCACTCGCGTGACTAATCAAAGCAAAACAGGTAACATATTCTACTTGAGTATCAAATTGGGGTGTGTTCCACACATTCCTTGTTATTTCTTCCACTCCCTTTATTAATTTCTATCCCTTGACATTCTTAAATTCATCCGATCCAACGGTCGAAAATTAAAAGAGCGAGAAGTAAAAAATGGTGTGAATATCACATCCTTATCAAATTACATTAACAAATTTGACTTTGAAATATTATGACATGTTAATTTAAATTAGAGTAAATTGTAACTATGGTACTTTAACTTTAACTCAATTTGAGCAATAGTCCATCAACTAAAAATCCATTACCATTGGTCCCTCAACTTTATCAAAACGTGCAGCTATGATTCCTCAACTAAAAATCCATTACAATTGGTTCATCAACTTTAATTCAACTAGAGAAATGATCCTTAACTTTAACCCAATTGTAGCAATGATCAGTCCAACATAACTCGTTTTGACAAAAATTTTGACGTAATTGACAAAAAAGACCATAATTACACTTTTATAAGTTGATTGATCTCTAATTATATAAATGGTTATTCCAACCTAACTTATTTTGACAAAATTTTGATAAAATTGATGAAAATGACTATAGCTACATATGATAAGTTGAGGGACCAATGATAATGAATTTTTAATTAAGTAACCATTGCTCTAATTTGATTAAAGTTAAGGGATAATTGTTACAATTTACTCTTTAAATCATCAAGAAATAAAGATTTAACTTGATTGATAATTCATATTAACGGAGGGATAAAAAGTAAAAATAATAAAAACAAACCCAAAATTCCATTTTAATACAAGAAAAAAAAAGAAAAAAAAATCAACCTCTCCTACAAATTACAAAGTAGTGTTTTTATAAAATAATGGCACGACATAAACAAGGAGAATATTAAACAAATTGTCTGACTAATACAAATTTAACTAGTGCTCTAATAAGGATCAGTTGAGTTCAAACTGTTGTTAGGTAATTAAAAAGAATTATCCATCATAAGCTACCTCATATCCGACGGCTACGACGGCTACGGTCAAGATCGACGGCTTCAGATCCTTCATTAAAGGTTACGGATTGCCTAGCCGGCGAAAACTCCTCGGGGGCTCAATAACGGGCTAGGACGGAGAAGCCGGCCGGTTTAGGTCGATTCTCCGGTCTTTTTGAGGTCTCGATGAGTCAACCGAAGTGGCTCCGCCGTTGCGTTCCGACGGACCCGCTCGAGCAGCCTTAGCGGAGCCACACCTCTGGTGAGGACATGAGCGGTCGAGATCGGCGATCTGTGATATAAACGAAGGATTCTTAGCCGTTGAAAAATGAAAGACGATTCTGAAATCAACGGAAACAGAGAATAACGTACCTGGGAGCGAAGATCCGACGCGGTTTCTCTGAATCGCTTCAACGTAACGGCGGTGGCGGTTTTGGAATCACCTCCATCACCATTGTTGAAAGCAGTCGCAGACTGCTCGCTGCTCGATGCGCTTGAAGTCGGCGGAGGCGGCGTCGCCGTCGAAGACAACGGCACCACCTGATTATCCCCGTCCTCATCGAAATCAACATCCTCATCGTCGTCGTCGTCATCGTCGTCGTCAATCTCATCGTTATCCGAATCGAATTCCTCATCATTGCCGCCCTGGCTCTCGTCGTCGTCGTCTCTGCCTCCGTCTGGGAGAACGCAGCTCTCGCACACCGAAAAAGTGTGGCCGAGCTTTTCGCCGGAGGCCTTCCACGGCGTGGGAGACTGGCAGCCGTGGCAGAGGAGGCTCCGGGAGTGGCGAGACACCAGGAAATTGGCGCCGTGAACCTTGGCGTCGCAGTCCCAGCACAGAATCGCCTGGTCCGATTCGCAGAAGATTCTCGCGGGAAGCCGGCAGAGCTCGCAATTCTTCATCTTTCTCTTGATTGCAAAGGACGCAGAGTCCACCTTCAGTTTTTGGGAATTTTCTTTTCTCGCAATTTCTCTGTGCGTTTCTCGGAAAATCTTATTCTCTCTCTTCTGCAAGTTCGGGATGGGTAAGATGGAAGGGAAAAGAAGGGAAAGGGCCACTTGCCCACAATAATAGCATCAACCCTGCTTTTTATTTCAATTACGATTTTACCATTCTTGGAACATGTTTTTGACACATCAACTACTCAAATAATTTAATTTCAAGAATTAGCTTAATGCAAAATTCTTACCTCGTTTACAGATGATTGCACGTATTTAACATTTATTTTTAAGCTTTAAGCTTTATACGAGGTTGTGGACCTGTGGTTGAGGTTGTCATTGCCTACTAGATAAACTTCTCGTCTTAAGTTATGTCATGCAATCGTACAGCTAATTAAATGATAAAAAAATTATAGGCCAAACTATAAATATAATAGATAGTTTGAATTACTTTTGCTTAAGAAGCTTTAAATACATTGAATGCGTATTTTTTTTAGATGATTGCATGTATCTAAAATTTACTTGATCGGACGAGAAAATCGAAGAAGGTTAATTTCTTTAATTAAAGAAGAACTTGTCATAAAATAAAATTCAGTCAAATCTCTCACCAATTTCTTTAAAAAAAATAGAAAAGAAAGTGATGAATACCACAAAAGTAGATAAAGGGCACGGAGGTCATTTCAAAGTACAAAACGCTGCAGAATTTCAAAATAGTCCAAAGGTTTCAAAGGGAGGAGGACCAAAGGCGGAGGCTGTGGTGCTCCGCGGCGCCAGGTGTCGGCTCGTGGGGGAACAAAAGCTTTGTGTGGTCTGTATATGCATGCGGGGGGGGCCTTCGGTCTTTTCCCACCTTTGGTTGGTGCAGACTCGCAAGGATATTTTCGAAAATCTGGCTGACATGGCGTCCAGGTGGCGTATTTCAATGTAATGAGATTCTATTCGCTTACGTGGCGGAATTTGAGCCATCGGACCACGTGGGTCTGCACCCGCAAGATTTGATTATTTATTACGTGTACTGTGGGTCCCGAATCCGGACCAGCGCGATTTTCAGCCTTGCGTTTCGCGGCTCCGAATCATGGCCCCCAATTCCTATCCTACTTTTTTTATTAAAAATATTATAATAGATAAGAATCATCAAGCCGACGCGCTCAACATAGAAACCGCCAATAGCCAGTCGTCAAAGAACAAGACTTGGCTGCTGAAATTCAGCAGCCGAGTTAATTCCGTCGTCAAATTAGGAAAAGTAAGGAAGATAGAAGATATAGGGAAATATATGTCATCTTCAATCGAAGCGGTTATGTTTTAGTCAGTTTAGATTATAGTTTTGTAAAAAATTATTTTTTTAATAAACAATATTATGCCATATTTATATATCATCTCCAATTGAAGGAAATTATTTTTTAACCTTCTCAATAATTTATTATTTTTAAGTTTGTTTGTTAATTTTTGTTAGTTAATGGAAATTAAATTATCATATTAAAATAAGATTTTTGGACATATTTTGAGTGTCACTTGTCACTGAATGAATAAGCATCTGGATTTCTTATCCTTTGGCTGATGATGTTGCCATTTGAAAAATATTGAAAAATTTAAATTTAGATTATTGGAAGATGTAAGAAATAGTGTAGAAATGACATAGATATTTATAAAAAAAAATTAGAATTATTACAACTAACCTCTTCACATGCAGTTACGTGTGTGCGAAATACCTTTTTTAGCTTTGGGTGACTTACACATCTGTCACATTTAGGTTACTTCGCAATCTACAAAAGACGGCACCCAACTCTTCAAAGAAAGATTTATGAGCTTGCGGGGTTAGCTGACCCATGGTTACAATATATCTGAAACATACAAATGAAAAGAGAGCTGGGGACGACGAGAAAAAGGATTCCGAAAATTTTGTCAAGCCCAATTCGAGCTCAATGGCAAGTGGAGAGGCGCCTAAGACAACAAAAATAAACATGCAAAAATCCTAAAGGTTAATGTGGGAAGATGAAATAAAAGAAGGGGTGTGCTATCCACACACCCTTTTTTACTTCTCACACACCCCTTATTAATTTATGTCCGTTGATCTTCTTTAATTCATTCAATCCTACGGCCGAAGGTAAAAAAGGTGTGAGAGAAGTAAAAAGGGGTGTGTGGATATCACACCCCTAAAAGAAAGTGTTGTGTTGGGCTAAACAAGCGACTTCACTAATACAAAAACGTTGGGCCAAATCCAAAGCCCAAAGGTTAAAGTGGCCAACAGTTGGGTTCGAACCTACACTGCCGAAGCCCATCCCAATAGAACTTTCGTTGCCGCCAATTTTTTTTAAAATTCCACCTTTACCCCTCAAGGTGTACTGAGAATTGGAAGGAAATTTATTCTTCAGAAGGAATAACAGCCATCGACAATGGGGCTCCGGCCAATCAGATCGTCATCCTCGTCAAGGTTCGCTTCTCAAGACGGCGTCAGAGTGAGGTGGTGCAAATGGCCGAGCACCGGAGGTGGAGTTACTCATTCGCCGGCCGCCACATCATTCTCGATTTCCGAATAGTATGCTCCTCATTAGTCATTGCTCCTTAATCTTGCTTCTTTTACTTCCTTGTAAAGCACAAAATTAAACTGTTTCGGCCTGGATAGCTGCCTTATGCTCCCCAAAGAAGATGAAGACCCAAATTCAATCCTAATTTATTTATTTATCTTTCAAATTGCATGCATGGGTAAAATTGAGAATTTTGGATAAAGTTTGGACTTTGGACGTTGGATAATGTATGCACATTGTGACGTAAACAATTTGAGCTTGAATGTTCAAGTGGTCAATACATTTTTATTTTTTGTTCGAGGTCTTGAGTTCGATGTCGCATTATCACCATGTTTGTATAACTGAATAAAATTTAGGTATTTACAAATTAAGAGGGAAAGAGAGAAGTAAAGTTGTGGACACAAAGAACAGATGAAATACAAAAATTAGAAGACGTTGACCTGTTGGCCACTTTTCAATCATTGAGCTCAGTCTCCATATCAACATTGAGTGGAAACAAAGAAAAGATGAAATGTACTAAAACTCGACGACCTTGACCTTTCACGTTGGGCCTACTACTCTTCAATCATCCAGCATTGAGTGATTGCTACAAGATCAACATTTTCTGCTCTGGCCACTATGTAAATTCATTATTCCAGCATTGAGTGATTGCTACAAGATCAACATTTTCTGCTCTGGCCGCTGTGTAAATTCTTTATTCTCGACGATATATGTTAATGAAGTTGCCAATCTGCTGGTAGCAGTAGCCTCTCCTTAATGATGTTTCTCAGAGGGAGGTTAACAAGATCAAATTGCGTCGTTGCATGGTTTACGAAACGCATGCTGTTTTCCATCTTCGTTTCATATGCAGTAGCAGTCTTGTTGTGCTCATCTCACCCATTTTGCTGTGCTAGAGATACAATAACACACGACACTCCAATTAACGACGGTGTTGAATCAGAAACTCTTGTTTCATCTGGTGGAAGATTTGAACTCGGATTCTTTAGCCCTCCACCTAAGGGGACTCAAAGATATGTTGGCATATGGTATCACCAACTGAGTCCGAGGACAGTGGTATGGGTTGCCAACAGAGAAAAACCAGTCCTCAATTCCAATGGTACCAGATTCCTTGCACTCCAAGATGGGAACCTCCATGTGTTGGATGCTGTTGGAAAGAGGTACTGGTCAACGGAGGTTGAAACATCCAAGTCTCTGACGCAGACTGTGACGCTCATGGATTTCGGGAACCTTGTCCTAAGCGGTGGCGATGATCAGTTGGCAGTGAATATGAAACACCCCAACCCCATTTCATTTTTAAAAATTGTTTTAAAGCCTTAATTAGTGAGCACGTGGGGCCCACCTTGTTTTATTTTTATGTTTTCTGATCTCTTTCTTATTCTTTTTCGTCTCTCCCTCCCGTAGCTCTCTCAACTCTCCCGTATCCCTCTCCCTCAACCGCTCGCATCTCTCTCTCTCCCCCTGGACTCACTTGGACCTTAGCATCATCAGGAGAGACTCGCCACGAACCAGGGACCCCTGCCTTACGAGTTTGACGACACGGAGCAAAACTCCGGCGAACCTTTTCTTCTTTTCCGTTGCGGTAAGTCTCGAATCCCTCATTCTCGTACCTAGCATAATGCTTGGTTATGATTTAGAAGCTTTAACCTTCCATTTTTACGTAGGTTTTGCTTCGGAATCGTTATGGGTGAGCACACCCGTTTTCCGGCGAACCGTGGACTTTGGAAGCTTTTTCCGGTCACCTCTGACCGAGTCACAGTCTTTGGAAGGTAGAAACCTCTTCCTCTCTCTTTGTTCTTCATGTTTGTACTTAGATCGGAGCTTGAAACCCCCGTTTTCAGGTGACCGGAGCTGTAGTAGCTCTGGCCTTCTTTTTCCTCGGCACCAGGCCATCCGGCCTTTCCCATTTCCTCCCCTCGGGCCTTAGGCCCGTGTTGTCTTAAGCCCAAAACCCTAGCCCCTTTAGTTTTTTTTAAGTTTTGTTAATTGGTTTTAAAACCCAAAGAAAGGCCTCGGGCCTTATTTAAAAAGGCCTTGGGCCAGTTCCATTTAAATGGGCTTAAAGCCCTGTTTTTTTTAGTGAGGCCTTAGGGCCTTGGTGCCGTGTGTGTGTGTGTGTATGGTTAGGCATGTGTGTGTGTGTGTGTGTGTGTTTATCCATGCACATGCATGTCGTGCATATGTGTGTGTGTTTGTAGTATGTGTGTGTTTGGGCTAAAGCCCAAACCCCAATTCTCACCCTAATACCCTTTTAACCCAAAACCCTATGTTCCTAAAATCCTTTAAAACCCCATCCAATCCCAAATCCCCTATTTTATTTAAACTCTAAACCCTAATCCGGATTCAAGCCTAAAATCCGTTAGACCTAATTTGACCGTTGACCTCCGGTCAACATTGACTTTAGGGTTGACTTTTCGGGTTTTCGTCCGGGACCCTTCTTAGGGTAATTCGACATTCTGAATCCGTTTCCAATGTCCGTTTTCCCAATTTCAATTGCTATTATATTGTTTTATTTATTGGACTCTTTATGTGCTTAGGGGCAATTATTGTGACGTTTCCGTCTTCGCTAGTGGCGCAGCTTTTGGCAACTAAGTACTGTGAGTGGACCATTTCTAAAATTACATGATTTTATAGTAATTGCATAAATGATTAGCATGCCTACGAATTTATGATTTGATTTATGTGAAGCCTGATGATTTAAGATATTGATTATTGTCTCGTGTTTTGGTGAGGAATTAATTGTTAGCCTATTTTGAGCTATATTTTAATATATATCATATTTTTTATAAAAACCATGAACTAGTAGACTATCTGATAGATGACGATAGGATGCTAGAACATATTTTTGAACCCCTCTTTATAGTGTAGACGATGATCGGTAACCTATGCTATGAAGTGGTTATTTAAGAGAGACGTAACTATTTGTGCGTACCTAGTAGACACTATGCCACCTGGGGCGAGGAACTGGTGTTGGCATTTAGGCCGGGAGAAATAATCCCTAGCTACGGGCTGAGGGACATGGAGCAGGTATTGGGCCAGGAGTTGGTAATCTCTGGCTACGGGCGCAGAGACCACGGAGCAGGCATTGGGCCGGGAGTTTATTTATTCAGTGATCTTTCTAGCAGCACACTGCGTTTACAAGACGATTTACGATGCGTTTACTGTTTTGATTTCCACGATGCGTTTCCGCGATGTGACTTTTGAGATATTTTGGCATGCTAGGATTTTGATTTAAATCCATCACTTATTATGCTAGTAGTTTTCATTTATATAAACTTGGGAGGTTAGTATGTTGATAACTGTTTTATTATTATTATATATATACGAACTTGGTCCACTCACCTTTGTTTTGTGCCCCCATTCAGGACTCAGAATCAAGGCACCTAATCCTGGCGTGAAGGCACTTCCGCAGCAGTATCTTCGGATCATCTCGATGTAGGACCCACTTCTTTATTCATTAAATTTTATCTAAATCTTTTTAGTGATTAGGTTTAGTTGTATGCTCTGAACACGTTCCTAAATTATTAGTTCATTGTATTTCAAATTTCTAACCCTTATTTATTTCTTATTTTCAGCTTTTGTATCAATTAATGACTTTCGTCACCCTCGGGTGTCGGCTAACACGTGTTTATCTTGGTATTCGGGGAATATCAGTTGGAGAGAACCAGTATGTCATCTCAAAATCAGAATCGATTCCGTACTGGAAAGGCGGAGAACGGGCAACTGATACATTTGACAGCTTTGATCAAATGCTTCCTGCGGTTACTTACTTACTATCAAATTTCAGCAATAAATGTGTTGTTAGAAATTACCCCAAGATTTTCAGTTCTCCGAGTAAAAACTCCACTATTAAAAACATAGAAATTCCTCCACGATCAGAATACAATTATACAAGGTTGGTGATTAGTATTACTGGAGAGATACAGTTTCTGACATGGATTGATTACACAAAGCAGTGGAATTTGTATTGGTCGGCGCCAAGAGATAACTGCAGTGTGTTTAATGCTTGCGGCAACTTTGGCAGCTGCAATGATAATAATATGCCGTTTCTGTGCAAATGTTTGCCAGGTTTCAAACCCCAGTATCTACAGCAGTGGAATTCTGGAGACTTTTCAGGTGGATGCACAAGAAAGTCCCTATTACGTGGCGACAACAAGAATGATACCTTCTTGAGCTTGAAGAAGATGAAAGTGGGAAACCCAGATTCAGAAATCAACGTTGACAATGAAACAGAATGCAGGAACGTGTGCTTAAATAGCTGCCGGTGCATGGCTTATTCACATACTATATCTGAAACCAATAGTCATCGAATGGAGGCGCATGCGCCTACTTCATTGTGCAGAATATGGAACGTGGGAGATCTAAATAATCTTGAAGAAGAGTACACCAATACGGGCCAAGACCTCTATGTTCGTGTTGCGTTGTCTGATTTAGGTATTCTTCCTCTGAAGTTTTCGGAAACTATTAAATGAATATGTGGATGGCAGAATTTTTCTTTTTTTTTTAAATTTATTATTATTATTATTATTATTTTTCTTTTGTGAATTAGATGATCAAACTGATAAAGTTTGTTTGTTTTGTGTTTTGATTGAGTGTTTGAATCGGTTTCTTGGGTAGGATAGTAGAGAAAATTGAAAGGAAGGAACTTGGAGATTGGTTTTTGCTGTGCAAATAATGCAGCAGACTTAATTGAATAAGTAGAGTGATTTTTACACAAGAGTATGGTGCATTTCCATCACCCATACTTTCTACAAAAGGTGATTGACAAGAGGCTTTAACAACCATTAAGCCTTACTACTCCAGATTACATCCTAACCCTTCATTTTGGGGTTAAATGATTTAATCTGGAGTGTACACTTGTCACTCACACACTTACACAAACATTTAAAAACAAAACTAGCCGTTGGAGACTAGAACCCTTCATTTTCTTTCTTCTTCTTCGATGCAGATGACATCCTTTTGCTCGGGAGTATCTTGCTGCCTTCGACTCCCCGACTCCAGGAGCTGGTTAGCTTCCAACACAAACCATTTTCCAGCGAAAAAGTAGAACTGACAAAGAACTTCAGTTACAAGAGTTTTATCTTTATGCTTTCTGTTGTTTCACGCTATTCCTTACATGCATATAGTTTCAATTAGCATGATTCTATTTACCTTTGATTAAAAGCGGGGTTAAACCTTTGTGAACATAATTGCAAAAGCATGAGATTATTCGATGTGAACATAAATGAGGTAGTGATAATTTCTTAGCTCCTTATGACAGTCAATTAATTACACCTCGTGCAGAATCAACTGTGAGAGACTGTAAGCCTTGCGGCACAACCATCATCCCTTATCCCCTGAGCACAAGACTGGGTTGCGGTGACCCTTTGTACTTCCGTTTCAAGTGCAACTACTTCACAGGTCAGGTTAGCTTTGTGGGACTGAATGACGCCTTGTTTAGAGTTATTAGCATAAACTCAAGTACCCGGAGATTTTTCATCCAAGGCTTCCATACCGAAAATGTAGCTCATGTCAGGTGTAAAATTTCGGTCATGCATGTTCCCTCTTACAAATCTGTGGAAATTTTCAGGTCGACGGGCCGAAGGCCCACTCTAACAACACCGATACTGTCCCCACTTAGGGCTGGTTTGGTATTGCTGTGCTTTGAAAAAAAGCTGCTGTAAGAATAAGCGGCTGTGAAATAAAGCTAGTAGAGTGTTTGGTAAACTTTTTTGTGAAAGTGCTTTTGGAAAAAAAAGCAGGATGATAGTGTGTCTTTTCATTAAAGGAGCACTGTAGCTCCATGTGCTTTGAAAAAACTGGCTTTTTTTCAAAGCAGCAAATAGCAGCTTCAGCTTTTCCTTTGATTTTCAGCTTATTCTCACAGCAGCTTCCAAAATAAGCCATTTTTTTTCAGTTTACCAAACACAAAAATGACCCTCAGCTTTTTTTCACAGTGGCTTTTTTTAAAATCACCTCAATCCCAAACGGGGCCTTAACCACCTGCACAATCCTCAGGTGTGGGGTTTTATCACAAAAGGCCTCGATGTTAGTTAGAGAGGGGTATTTCTATTTAAAGCACTCTTCTCTTCTCCCTCTGAAGGATGTGGGACTGGGGGTTGGGGACCCACCCAAACACGTGGCATCTTTGGCTTACGTGGACAATCACGCGGGGCCAACGGGGACCCACCCAATCACGTGGCAGTACGGGCCCGCCTCCTGGCTCTGATACATTGTTGGAAATTATATATTATAATATGAAATATTGTAATATATAATTTTAATAATTGAATGAAAAATAGTGTTAACCATATTTTTTTTTTAGAAAGGTTATGTTATTTAGGTGCATTCCCTTGTTAAATGATGTATACTTATAAATGAAAAGTTACATCACTTTAGCAAGAAGTGCTTGGGTTCTATATAAACTCATGAAACCATCATCATTAATATATAGAAAATTAGGGTTAATTTTTACTCTTGAGAAATAGGGTTTCCCCACTTTGTTTCTCAAATGATTCGTGTGTCAAATTCTGAGTCGTGTCTTGAGAATACGGAATATATAAAGTTCGCTAGAGTCCGAAGATTGAAGTGCTTTGACTTCGGATTATAGATTGTTGAATCCTGGGAGATGGACGCCTACCGAACTACAAGCACAAGAGTAGAGGTGAAATTCTATCTTTAGGACATTGTATTTATGCAAGCCTCAATCTCCAAGTTTGTCAGTTATTCTAACTTTCTCTCTAGTTGTTTATATTAATCTCATATATAATTGATGTTGTGATTTTCTTTATGATTATTATCATTGGAATTATATTGTTATTTTTCATATTTTCTAATATTGCTCCAACAACCATGTGGAAATTTTCAGGTCGACGGGCCGATGGCCCACTCTAACAACACCGATACTATCCCCACTTAACCACCTGCACAATCCTCAGGTGTGGGGTTTTATCACAAAAACCCTCGATGTTAGTTAGAGAGGGGTATTTCTATTTAAAGCACTCTTCTCTTCTCCCTCTGTCCGATGTGGGACTGGGGGTTCCAACAAAATCAAATTTTTATGTTGATACGAGTGCTGCAAAATCGTTTTAGATTGTAAAAATGATGATATGACAATAAAAAGTATTTTCTTTTCTTTCTTGCAGAAGGTAATCTTCAAGGGTCATCAAAAGAAGACCATACAAGAAGCAAATTGCCATTGTCTCTGATAATTGTAGCGGTACTTTTAAGTGTGATTTTTCTGGCGTGCATCGCCATTTCCATTTATATATGGCGAAGAAATATGAACAACAAACGAGGTAACTGCTTTTCTATAAGCGTTATTGCCATGAAAGATCTGCAGAGTTGTTCATAGTTGAAGAGAATAAATCTCTTCTATTCCTTGTATTAGATCAAATAAGACGAAGACAATTTCATAGTGAAAGGAGAGTCAAGGAGTTGATAGACACAAGCGAGTTCAAGGAAGAGGAAGGTATAGATGTACCATTTTTTGATCTGCAAACTATACTAGACGCTACAGATAATTTCTCAAATGCAAACAAGCTTGGACAAGGGGGATACGGGCCTGTTTACAAGGTAATCGAACAGTTGTTTTGTTTTTGTTTTTTTTTTGAGAAAGAAGTATAGAGGCTAAATCGCATAGGGTAAATAGTCTTTTTTCTTCAAGGAATAGGATAGAGGGGGTAGATAGAACTAATTTATTATTTTTAATAAAAGGTTCTATTTATTACCTATCCTCTACTGAATATGCATGAAATACTAACCTGTTTTGGAATTGAGTGGGCTATGTAGGCTACATGCATTAACATAAGCCATTAAAGCATGAGTTAAAAAAAAGATAGTGCTATTCACACACCCTTATTAATTTTTTACCATTAATCTTATAATTTATTTCATCGAATGCCGAAAACTGAGAAGGATGTATAAAAAATAAAAATGGATGTGTAAACAGCACTACACTTACAAAAAAATCTCCCTAAGCTACAAGCCTACAACCCACCTTAGCCTTGTGGGTGGCTCCGCCCGTGCTGACAGGATCGTCATCCTCGTGCTCACGGTTCGCTTCTCAACGACAGCCTCGGAGTGAGGTGGTGCAAATGGCAGAGCATCGGAGGTGGAGATACTCACTCGCCGGCCGCCACAGCGATTTCCTAATAGTTTGCTCCTCATTAGTCATTACTCCTTAATCTTGCTTATTTTACTTCCTTATAAAGCACAAAATTAAACTGCTTCGCCCTGCATAATTGCCATATGCTCCCCAAAGTAGATGAAGACCCAAATTAAATTCTTATTTATTTTTCTTTCAAATTGCATGCATCGGTAACATCGAAATTTTTGGCTAAATTAGCTTGGACTATGGACGCTGGATAATGTATATGCATTCTTGTTATTCACTATTCTTGTATAACAGGAATAAAAAAAAAAGCCATTCACAAAATAAGAGGGAAGGCGAGAAATAAAGTTGTGGACACAAAGAAGAGATGATATACAACAATTCGACGACCGTGACCGTGCATTTGCCACTTTTCAATCATTGAGCTCAGTCTCTATACATGTAGGCCATAGCCATATCGACATTAGTGGAAACAAAGAAAAGTTGAAAAATCTACAGAACTCGACGACCTTGACCTTTCACGTTGGGCCAACTACTGTTCAATCATCCAGCATTGAATGATTGCCACAGGATCAACGTTCTCTACGATATATGTTAATTAAGTTGCCAATCTTTTGGTAGCAGTGGCCTCTCCTTAATTAATGATGTTTTCCATGTTCGTTTCATATGCAGTAGCAGTCTTGTTGTGCTCATCGCACTCAGTTTGCGTTCGCTATGCTACAGATACAATAACATACGACACTCCAATTACCGACGGTGTTGAATCAGGGACTCTTGTTTCATCTGGAGGAAGATTTGAACTCGGATTCTTTAGCCCTTCACCTACAGGAACTCAAAGATGTTGGCATATGGTATCACCAACTGAGTCCGAGGACAGTGGTATGGGTTGCCAACAGAGAATCCCCAGTTCTCAATTCCACCAGTACTGGAATTCTTGCACTCCAAGATGGTAACCTCCATGTGTTGGATATTACTGGAAAGAGTTACTGGTCAACGACGGCTGAAACATCCAAGTCTTTAACGCAGACTGTGACTCTCATGGACTCCGGGAACCTTGTTCTAAGCAGTGCCGATGATAAGTTGGCAGTGAATACTCTGTGGCAGAGTTTTCAAAATCCAACTCATACATTCATTCCTGGGATGGTAATGAATAAAAGCTTGGAGTTGACTTCATGGAGAGGCGAAGGTGACCCGGCAAGCGGGAAATTCATCTTCAAACAAGATCCAGTTGGAGAGAACCAGTATGTCATCTCAAAGTCAAAATCAAAATTAGAACCGATTCTATATTGGAAAGGTGGAGAACGGGCAACTGATACATTTTACAGCTTTGATCAAATGCTTCCTGAGGTTACTTACTTCTTATCAAATTTCAGCAAGAAATATGCTGCTCGAAACTCTTCTTATAAAAGCAGTGGAATTCATACAAGGTTGGTGATTAATATTACTGGCGAGATACAGTTTTGGACGTGGATTGGTTCCACAAAGCAGTGGAATTTGTATTGGTCGGCGCCAAGAGATAACTGCAGTGTGTTTAATGCTTGCGGCAACTTTGGCAGCTGCAATGATAATAATATTCCGTTTCTGTGCAAATGTTTGCCAGGTTTCAATCCCCAGTCTCCACAACGGTGGAATTCTGGGGACTTTTCAGGTGGATGCACAAGAGAGCCCGCATTATGTGGCGACAACAAGAATGTAACCTTCTTGAGCTTGAAGAAGATGAAAGTGGGAAACCCAGATTCAGAACTCAACGTTGACAGTGAAACAGAATGCAGGAACCGGTGCTTAAATAGCTGCCAGTGCAAGGCTTATTCATATGCTAAATCAGAAAACTATAGTCAACGAATGGATGCGCCTACTTCGTGCAGAATATGGGGGGGAGATCTAAATAATCTTGAGGAAGAGTATACTGATGCGGGCCAGGACCTCTCTGTTCGTGTTGCGTTGTCTGATTTAGGTATTCTTCTTCTGAAGCTTCCCGAAACAAACAAATGAATGTGTGGATGGCATAACTACTTTACTTTGTGATTAGATGATCAAACCATTTTCCAGCGAAAAAGTAGAACTCAGAAAGAACTTCAGTTACATGAGCTTTGTCTTTATGCTTTCTGTTGTTTCACGCTATTCCTTACATGCATATATCGTTTCAATTGGCACGATTCTATTTATATTTGATTAAACGTGGGGCTACAATTTTTGAACATAATTGCAAAAGCATGAGATTATGCGTGGACATAAATGAGGTAGTGATAATTTCTTAGCTCGTTATGACAGTCAATTAATTACTCCTTGTGCAGAATCAACTGTAAGAGACTGTAAGCCTTGCGGCACAACCATCATCCCTTATCCCCTGAGCACAAGACTGGATTGCGGTGACCCCATGTACTCCCGTTTCAAGTGCAACGTCACTGATCAGGTTAACTTTGTGGGACTGAGTAAGACCTTTCGAGTTGTTAGCATAAACCCAAGTACACAGAGATTTTTCATCCAAGGCTTCCAACCCAAAAATGTAGAAGAATGTGATCGTAAAAACAGAGAGGCTAATCGGCAGATCAATCCATCATTTCCATTTAAAGTAATCAGTTTGTGTAATGCTTACCTGGGTATGTTTAGTTCTGTACTGTCATCCGGAGGTCCTAATGTAGTGGAGATGGGTTGGGAGCTACCAATGGAACCAACCTGCACAACATCTGCAGACTGCAGGGATTGGGCACATTCAATTTGCAATCCTGCACGAGATGGAAAGAAAAGATGCCTGTGCAAAACCAATTTTCGATGGAATGACTTGGAATTAAGATGTACTCAAGGTGAGAATATCAAGTAAGGCATAAAATTTGTCATCCATGTGCCCTCTTGCAAATCAAATTTTTATGTTGATACCAGTGCTGCAGAATCGTTTTAGATTGTACAATGCAATAAAAATGATTATATGACAATAATATTTTCTTTTCCTTCTTGATCTTCAAGACCATACGAGAAGAAAATTGCCATTGTCTCTGATGATTGTAGCGGTGCTTTTAAGTGTGATTTTTCTGGCGTGCATCGTCATTTCCATTTATACATGGAGAAGAAATATGACCAACAAACAAGGTAACTGCTTTTCTATATGCGTTATTGTCATGAAAAATTTGCAGAGTTGTTCATAGTTGATGAGAATAAATCTCTTCAATTCTCTGTATTAGATCAAATAAGACGAGGACAATTTGATAGTGAAAGACGAGTCAAGGAGTTGATAGACACAAGCGAGTTCAAGGAAGAGGAAGGTATAGATGTACCTTTTTTTGATATGCAAACTATACTAGACGCTACAGACAATTTCTCAAATGAAAACAAGCTTGGACAAGGGGGATACGGGCCTGTTTACAAGGTGATCGAACAGTTGTTTACCATTCCTTTGCACTCGAATCACCTTATATAGCAACACTTGTTTGTCATTAGTGTTTATCTGTTGTGGTTAGTTGTAAATTTATATGCATGGGATTTTGTTGCAGGGAATGTTTCTTGGAGGCCAAGAAATCGCAGTGAAAAGGCTATCAAGGGTTTCAGGACAAGGCTTACAAGAATTTAGAAATGAGGTGGTGCTGATTGCCAAACTTCAACACCGAAACCTTGTTAGACTTAAGGGATATTGCATGAAAGGAGAAGAAAAGATCTTACTCTATGAGTACATGCCTAACAAAAGTTTAGACTCCTTTATATTCGGTTCGTTCCTACTCCTCTTTTCATTATCTGTCACCGCATGATATATGGTTTCTTGATTGACTTAACTACGATAGCTACTAAATTTTTCTCTATATGGAAAATGGAAATTCTGCAAGATCATGCAAAAAGCATGGTTCTCAACTGGGAGATGCGTTTTAGCATCATTTTGGGAATCGCTCGAGGGCTTCTTTATCTTCATCAAGATTCTAGATTGAGGATCATTCATAGAGATTTGAAAACGAGCAACATTCTCCTAGATGAGGAGATGAACCCCAAAATATCTGACTTCGGTTTAGCGAGGATTGTTGGAGGCAAGGAAACTCAGGCAAACACAAACACTGTAGTTGGAACTTAGTGAGTTACTAAGTTTTGTGTCTATGATTTCATATTCTTGACCCTTTTAGGTGAAAGTGCTTTTGTGCCTGCATAAGTTACAAAGTTTTTTCTTTTGATATAGTGGTTACATGGCTCCGGAGTATGCATTGGACGGAACTTTCTCAGTGAAATCAGATGTCTTTAGCTTTGGCGTGGTTCTTCTTGAGATAATCAGCGGAAAAAAGAACACAGGCTTTTACCAATCCGAACAAACTTTCAGCCTCATAAATTATGTAAGACAGCAAGTGCGTCGAATATTTCATATCCATTTTTAACCCCAATTTACACTTGCATCAGTCTTGAATTTTACCATTTTCCTAGGCATGGAGACTCTGGACAGAAAACAAGGTGCTGGATTTAATGGACAAGACTTTGGACGAAGGTTGCAACAAAAACCAGTTTATCCAGTGTGTCAATGTCGGCCTCTTATGCGTACAAGAAGATGCAAACGATCGGCCTGCCATGTCAAACGTTATCACCCTGCTTGACAATGAAACTGCAACCTCTCCATCTCCTAAACAACCAGGGTTTCTCACAAGGAGAGGCAAATCCAGCACAGCTTCTTCTTCTAGTAAGCTAGAAGCTATATCTGAAATAACCACCAGTATAGTAGAAGGTAGATAATTAAAGGACGGTTGGTACTCTAGTTTTTTACTCTTTTTTCACGTCTCAGTTTTTTCCTTTTTTATATTTAACACTTATCGCTGTAATTATAAAAGCATGTATCTAATGTTTCTGGTCAGAAAAGTTTGAGTGTGACCTCTTGGCAGTGTGACTTGGTTTCATCGTCTATTCTTTTCTTTCTTTTTCTCAGATTAATCCTCGATCGAGTTCTTGATCAACTTATCATGAAATCAACTTAGAATGAGTGTTTTTTCTTTCTTTCTTTCTTTTTATGGGTTTAGGGATTCGATTATGTGGATTTCAATTATATAAGCGATTTATGGTTAATGATAGGTTTAATATACGGAGATTTAGATAGGGAAGTGATTTTTGTACGCGCTTTATCACACTCAAACTCATACAGTTGCAACGTAACAAAATCACAAAAGTAGATCGTGTACGAATCCAAAACAAAAGCACACAGCTTCACCAAACTAAGCATTCAAACCACCATGATTATCACCAAACACAGATTATAAATGTAAAGCATTCCACTGTTCTACAAAACGCTGGAATGGAATCCTCAAAACCGTTCCATTCTTGAATAGACAAGGAGATGAATGCAATTACTAGTTCCACTCTCGCATTCCGACCAACCAAATAGATGTCGTTTTCTTATCTGGAATGTTAAACAGCGATTGTGGAAATCAATTACATCGAAAACGGACTGGTAATGAAGCCTATGAAGGGGTTCGCTTTCAACGGACCTGAAACCTTAGGTTTATTCATTTGAAGGAATCTATTTGCACTTGCGTTTATGTTTTCCCAATTGGAATGTTTTTTTTATTGTTGGTAACGAGAGTAAATCGATCTTTGCTCCTTATTATACAATAATTACATAACTTGTGACCTAAGTAAAGCTAAGAATCCATATTCGGGTTCGACATAATTTTTTGTGTTAGTAAGATTTGTCATCGAAATTGGTTAACTACACAGATTGAATTTCTGCGTTAAAAAGCTCGATGATTCCGTGCATAGATCGATCATATTCCTCTGCAGAGTTTGTCCGCTGACATCTATTGAGTTAGTAATAATATCATAATTAGAATTTCTCAACAATTGTAATACACTTCATTATTATTTGTTTACAAGAGGGAAGTCCTTTCTTATAGAGGGCCAAAAACTACACAACTAGTCCTAACAAGTGGACAAACCAAATGATGATTACATGAGGAAAACACCGAAGAGGAAAATAAGGAGAAAAGTAAAGCAAAGTAATGATGGCTAGCTATAAAGTAAAGTAATGATGGCTAGCTAGAGGAATAATTACAAGTGTATTGTCTATACCAATAATGTCTAGCAGCTATTGTTGACACTCTCCCTCAAGTTGGTGCATAGATGTCATGAATGCCCAACTTGCTTAGTGAGTTGTGAAATACTGAACTTGTGACTGCTTTGGTGAGCATGTCTGCTAATTAATCTTCAGATTTAACGAATGGAACTTCAATAAGTCTTGCCTCAATTTTTCTTTAATAAAATGTCTATCCACCTCCACATGTTTGGTTCGATCATGTTGAACTGGATTGTGAACAATGTCAATTGCAGCCTTGTTGTCACAATGTAGACGCATAGCATGCTTGGGCCTAAATCCCAAATCTCTTAGTAAATTCTTCACCCAAAGCAGTTCACATACTCCATGTGCCAAGCTCCGATATTCTGCTTCAGCACTTGATCTAGCAACAACCCTTTGTTTCTTACTACGTCAAGAGACTAGATTTCCTCCAACAATAACAAAGTATCCTGATGTTGATCGTCTGTTAGTTACATCACTAGCCCAATCAGTATCAGTGTAGCCTTTAATGTCTAGATGATCATGTTTTGAAAATATTAATCCTTTCCTAGGAGCTGACTTTAAATACCTCAAGATACGGTTTACAACATCCATGTGTGTTTCACTTGGTGCATGCATAAACTAGCTTACCATGCTGACTTCATATGCTATATCTGGTCTAGTATGTGCAAGATATATTAGCTTACCAACAATTTGTTGATATCTCTCTTTGGTGGTAGGTATTTGATCAGGATATTCACCAAGTTTGTGATTCAACTCATTTGGGTTATCTGCTGGTTTGCATGCTAGCATCTCAATTTCCGGGAAAATATCAAGAACATATTTCCGTTGTGATAAAAATACTCCTTGTTGTGAGCGGGCCACCTCAATGCCCAAGAAATGCTTTAAGGCACCGAGATCTTTCATCTCAAATTCACTTGATAGATACTTTTGCAGTGTTGCCTTCTCTTCTGGATCATTTCCTGTAACCACCATGTCATCCATATATACAATAAGAGCAGTGATTTTACCTTTATTATGCTTTAAGAAAAGAGTATGATCTGAGTTGCTTTGCTTGTATCCAAAAAAATTCATCGATTTGGTAAATCTCCCAAACCAAGCTCTCGGTGATTGATTTAAACCATACAACTACTTTTTTAGTTTACAAAAGTTGTTGGTCTGATTGGGATCTAGCTTGCATCCTGGGGGAAGCTCCATATAAACTTCTTCTAAATCTCCATGCAGGAAAGCATTTTTGACATCGAATTGTTGCAAATGCCAGTCAAGGTTTGCTGCTAGGGATAAGAGTACACAAATAGTGCTTATCTGACACGCCCCGACTCCGATATTCCCCGAATATCAGGATAGGTACGTGTTGGCCAACACCTGAGGTGACGAAGCCATTTATTGAAATACAAGAGAAATGATTAGGAGAAACACGCACAATTAAACATCTGAAATCAAAGGGAGTTACAAACAAAGTTTAGGGAAATATCTAGAGTGCGCAAAACACATTCGAAGTCAAGATCACAAAAGGAAAGATCATTACAAATATTACACAAGTGGAAGATAGACTGCTACTGGTAGGGGAATGCCTCGTATGATGCCTCGTAGTCCTCGTTCCTAAGACCTGAATGGGGGCGCAAAACAAGGGTGAGTGGACCAAGTTTATATACATACATAGTACAAAAACAGTTATGAACATACTAACCCCCACAATTTAATAATGAAAACTACTAGAATAATAAGTGATAAGCTTTTCAGAAAACTTTAGCATGCCATAAAACAATTCATATATCCATCTGCAAATCAATCTCAGAAAATCATATCATAAATCGTATCAGGAAGCATAACACAAGTTGTGCTGCTAGTAAGTGCACTGAATAATAATACTCCCGGCCCAATGCCTGCACCTCAGTCTCTGTGCCCGTAGCTAGAGATATCCCCCTCCTGGCCCAATGCCTGTCTCCGTGTCCCTCAGCCTTTCGCTAGGGATTATTTCTCTCGGCCTCAATGCCAACACCAGATCCTCGCCCCAGGCGGCATAGTGTTCACTAGGTACGCACAAAACATAATTAATCTCTAAAATACAACTTCATAGCATAAATTCATCGATCCTCTATACTACGAAGAGGTGTTCGAAAGTCATTTGAAACACATTCTTAGCATCCTATCAGATAGTCTACTATAATGAGGGTTCTATAGAAAATACAATATAATGAAAATAGTTCAAAATATTTATATATAATCAATCATAATTAAATCATCATGCTTCCTGTAAAGTATTCCTCAAATCAATAATTCTGCAAGGCATGCTATTAAATTATGCAATTCTATCAATAAAACATGCAATTTTCGAAGGTGGTCCACTAACAGATACTCCGAAGCAGTAGAATTGTGCGAAAAAGATTAAGGAAGTCTCCACTAGCAACTTCACATAAGCATGAAAATGTACAATTTAATAAACTACCCAAAAGATAGAATTTTAGGAAATGGAAATGGGTTTTTGGGTTTGGGTAGGTTAGGAACAAGAGGGAGTTTGGGCTTATGCCTAAATCCATACTTATACACACACGGCACACACATCCACACACACATATATATATATATATATATATATATATATACATATATAAACACACACACACTCCCACGCATGCACACATACACACACTCCCACAACATATCCATACACACATGTACATATGCACGGACACACACATACACATATGCACTGCACCACACACACTTGCATACACACACACACACACACACATATAAACACACACACACATGCATATATATATATACACACACATATATAAACACACACACGCACAGCATGTATATATATTATTGATGTTTCGGTTTCAACTTTGTTGTTTCTTTCTTATTCATTCTGCTGCAATTGCAGCATTGTTTATATGCATTTTACATACACGCATGCAATAAAGAAAAGCAATACAGGTGTTGTGCTTGCTGTCATGATGCAGCAACTAGAGAAAAAATAAGCAGCATTCATTTCTCCCATACAACATTGTCTATCTGTCAAGGAATATACAACATTCCTTTTCACGAGCAATATTCCCTCTCTCCATACTGTCATATTTCCTCTCTCCCATACTGTCCTAGCTGTCAATATCATATTCCCTCTTTCCCATACTGTCCTAGCTGTCAATACTCCCCCTCAAGCGGGATCAAGGGGGTTGATTGATCCAAGCTTGAACAATAACCGTTGAAATTGTGTAAAATCAAGAGCTTTCGTGAAAAGGTCCGCAAGTTGATCATGACTTCTAGTGTACACAGTTTCGATGACTTTGGATTGAACTTGAGTGCGGATGTAGTGGCAGTCAACTTCAATGTGTTTAGTCCGTTCATGGAATACAGGATTGGATGCAATATGCATGGCAGCCTGCTTGTCACAGAATAAGGACATGGGTTCCTTATTGGTGAAGCCAAGATCAAGAAGGAGACTCTTCAACCAGATGAGTTCAGAAGCTGTTGCTGCCATGGCCCGATATTCAGCTTCAGCACTGGACCGTGCAACCACTGTTTATTTTTTACTTTTCCAGGTGACAAGGTTTCCACCTACAAAGGTACAAAAACCTGTGGTGGATTTTCGATCAAGGGAATTACCAGCCCAGTCCGCATCGGTATAGGCCAGAATGTGATTAGACTTATTTTTCTGCATGAGTATGCCTCTGCCGATCGAGCCCTTGAGGTATCGAAGTATTCTCTTGACAATTTCCCAATGAACCAATGTAGGAGAATGCATAAACTGACTGATAAGGTTTACGGAGTAAGCAATATCAGGCCGTGTGATAGTGAGGTAAATGAGT